TTTATGAGAGATTAGCTACTTATGCTAAATCTAACTCTAGTAACTTGACATGCTTTTTAATATGCATCATCTTTTATATTGCTAACATTTTTGAGTTGGAACTAAAAGAGGACACATTATATAGAGATAATATACCACAAGGAACAAACTTTTTGTCAAAAGGCAGGGTACAATATCAATCAATGTAATATACACTGCACAACAAAGTAAAAAGAAGACCATAGTGTATATGGAAGCATTATCAACTGGACTGACTAAGCAAATTTAGCTAAGAGCCTAAATCTATTACTCTGTATCTGATTCTGTTCAAGCTATGTCTCATCAAATTCTTGGTGACTCTTGTCCTCTTGGACCCCAGTCCTTAATCTGACACTGTAACGAGTGCTTGTTGGTATTTTTATCAGGGAAGTGAAAATCAAATGGAATGGGCATTTCGATGGGAACACATCTTACGAGACTTCAGGCTACAGGTTATATGGCAATTTCCCCTCTTTCTTCTAGGAAAATCTTCGAAATCATGCGATAGCAGTAACAACACGGATTTGCCTTCAATGCTTATCACTATCGTCAATTTGGATTGTCTAATAAATTTTTATTTTATTAGATAAAGAATTGAAAATAAAGATAATCTTGTATCACTCATTAAAAATAAATTTATTAGTCAAGAATTGGAAGTCAAATTTTAAATCTAGACTGTCTGAACTGAATTTAAACGGTTGAGATCTTACCACAACAATGAGTACAGGAGCTGTACCTGACACTGAGGTTGACTAATCTTCACAAATTTTAGGATTGTCGCTTGGGCCCATTGAATCCCATGATCTCAACTACAAACACATGCAACAATTCCCTAGGAAGATAGTTCATCAATATGATCTCAAACCTTGAAGCTTCCAGGGAAACCCTAAAATCATTTTATACCCAAATAATAACGAATTTTACTAGCTAGCTTACGTCTTCTGATGATCAAATCAATGTCACAAACTAAAACCTCCGTGAATGAGGCACAATGATGATAAAACCAAAATTTATTCATTACGAATTTTTTAGTACTCATTGCAACCCAGAGATTCAAATAGCGACAATCTATCCTCATATCTAAAGAGCAAAACCAATATAAGAGCTTATCACAGGCAAGGCTGAGTTTTTAACTTCTGTATATTTAGAAGGGGCTTGTTTGTGATCCATGTCTGACAAGATCCTAAATACAGATTAGGTCAAACTAACTTGGTCTAATCACAGTTCTCAATCTTGTGTTGCTGCTCCTTGATTGAGCTCTGCAAACCTCATGCCAACACGCATGGAGTGTTTTAAAAACTTCTCTGCACACCTTCGAACACAGCTTTCCTCTTGCTTATGCAGGGATTTATGCTTGAAGTTGTCAACACAATCATTAAAGCATCTCTCCACCAGTGAATTGTACATTCTTAGACTGCAATTAAGTTATTAGAATCAGATTCCAATCTCAAACCAAGCAATGGTTCAACAAGAAGAACAAACAAGAGATTGAAAGAGTAAAAGGGCAGCACAAAAATAATCAGAGCACCTTTGTACTATTGCCCTACGTTTCATTATGGATACTAGTTATTCATAAATTTGACTACTTACACTTCTCATAGAGACGAGTCTAATCAAGCTACATAGAAATGAACGAGCAAAAAAGTGCTAAAAATAGAAGCATATAGGAGTTTAAACTTGAACCAAAACCATCACCTGCATTAATGGAGGTAAACTAAGTGCATGTTTGATATACAGAAAAGTTCCTTCTGGTAAAGGAAATGAAAAATGCACCTATCTCATTTTCTTTCAAGGTACATTTCCCCTTTCCTTTCTAGAAAGCACTTTTCCATATACCAGACATGCACTAAGTTTAAATATCTAATCTTCCTTTCATTAGAGGTGCTGTAGAAACAAGGCATGAACTAAAAGGTACATTCTAGGACTTAGCTTCTCTCCATTTATTTTCTCTCCACTTCCTCTCCATTTACCATCTCAATTGTTAGATCAAATTTTGGATGGGTAGGATTTAGTATTTCTTAAAATTATTATTAAAATGTGAAATTATGAAAAATAAATAAATAAATTTATTTATTTATGATTATAATTAGAAAAATTAAAAAATTCAATTTTATAAAATGTTAAATCCTAACCATTCAAAAATTAATCCAAAGGTTGAGATGGTCATTGAACCTTCCGTGCACCGAAAAGGTGACTGCTAAGCACATTGGATTAGAATTTAATTTTCAGACAAATGCTAGAAAAGGCTGGTTGATAACAGCTAAGGAAAGACACAAACAACATGTTGTTCCCAAAACGTCCAGGTGCAACATGGACTTGTTGAACTGGTTTTAAGGAGAACTTCATTCTGGCTTCACAGGAAGAGAACCACAAGAATTAAAAGATTTGTGATTCTCATGAATTACTAAGTACGATGAAGCCCCAGAATTGGAATGCCAGTCAAAATCTGACCTTTGATGCAAATATATGCACAATAACTATGCCACAAAATTTGGCAAAGGCTTCAACTTTAAGGCTATTCCATCTTCACAGAACATCAGAGCCCAAACAAACTTGATTAGCAGGATGGACTTGCAAGCACAAAATACATGAAACTGTAAGGGGTAAAAACACAGAGTATTTTTACAAGTGGAGGAACCTGTCTCGGATTTGGAGCTGATCAATCATGGCAGCCATTCTGAGCTTATCTTCCTCTGGAAGGGATTCCAGATCTCCTATCATGCTCTTGTCCATGTTTGGTCAACCAACGAGTCACACTGAAAAGCCTAAATTAGTAGTTTTTCTTATACTATACTACATAATTATGAATTTGATTCAGCTTATGACTTTTAAATCAAAGAGTTTAAAATAAGCAAGCTTGAGGCACAATCAGAGTTTAAAATATACAAGCCTGTCAAGCCCAAAACTTCAAGAGGGGCCTCGTGCTTAGGGAAAAAAAGAAAAAAGAAGGCATCAGATTTTGTTCCTTAATCTTTGCTTCGTTATGCTTTTGATTTTTTTTTTTTAATTCAGCTAGAATTCTGATGGATACTGATTTTGATTAGTCAAAAATGGCATCGCAGATTAAAGCCAGTTTTTGATTGTGTGTTTGAATAGTGATCAATTTTTAGTCCAAACAAGTCTACCAATTATACAATATGATCTTAGAACAATGCTTCATGACTTAATTTAATTTAATGCCAAGTTTACATTTGATTACTTCCCAGGGAGAAACGTCAGTTTAGATCACTTTAACAGCAAGTATAACCTTATTTTTCACAAGAACCCAGTCCCTAAACAAGTACAGCAACACCAACAATTCAAGCGTAAATAGAGCATCCCAAGGCCAATATGGCATCTCGCCTACAGTCAACAACTTCTGAGCAGACAGTATATACATGTGCATATATATAAATAATGTTCTCTACTATTCATGTCTTGCTCCCGCAGGTGACTAATAATTGCAATCTCAAAACTGCATATGATTAAAAAGAGAAAAACAAAAGACAATGTAAGTTACGCCCTATTCTCTAGCAAAAGATCTCACTGCGAAACACCCAACCACTTTGAAAAAAACAAACTCGAATTTAGAGAACTATAAATAAAGGTAGAAAGATAGAGGGGTTTAAACGATGCCACGAAACCATAGAACGTACAGCATTCTATTTATTAAAAGCATCTAAGGAATGAGAAATCAGTGGGTATGGCAGAATGGAACCTTACCTCTCTTCTCCAGATGGCAATGCGGATCTGGGCGATGGGTGACAGATGAGGCCACTCTATCACGACGACTAATCACAAGCGGTACGAGGACGGCGGACAGTAGCGCCGGCGAGGATGGGGTTAACGACTGAGGAAACAGCTGTGAGCTATGGACGAACCGCACAGAGAGAACGGCGACTGAGTGCCTGAGTTGAGCACTTAAGCTCATGAAATTTCGAATGTTTATTTTAAAAATAAAAGAAAAAATTGAGCTTGAGAACTTTATTTTTAATGTTTCTGAAAATTAATTATTGTTAAAATTTAAATAAAAAAGTTAAAATAGATTATTATTAATTTATAATAAACTGTTGTTAAAATTTAAATAGATATTTGTTAATAAAAAAACTAATTCAAATCAACAAGTATTAATTTTAAATTATGATAATAAATAATTTTTGATTAATATAAATTTTTTTAACAGCTATTAATTAATATTTTTTTAAGAGGGAGAATTTTATTTTAGAACCTTGGTCTTAGATTCGATATATTTTTAAATTAGATTCAACATAATGTGAAATTATATTTCTTTTAAATTGAAATAATATTGTAAAGTAAAATGATTAAAATATCTTTATTTCAATAATATGTTCCAGCAAAACAAATAATATAAAAAAATTAATAAATAAAATAAATCATTTAATAAATAATATAGGTAATTTTAACTTAAGAAATAATATATTTACCTCGCTATATGGACTTTACTTAGCAAGTAATATAAAAAATTAATAAGTAAAATGAAGAAAACAACAAGTCTTCTTAAAAATCAATAATCATATTAGCTGCGATATATTAAATATAGCAAGTAACAAAAAAAATTAATAAATAATATAATTAATTTTATAAGTAATGATAACAGTTTAACAAAGTTATACCTTACAATGTGTTATAAAAAGATATTTTGATAATTTATTTTAATTCAAGCTCAACATTTTATATTGAAATTTCAAAATACTTTAAGTTTTATTTAAAAATGTGTTACATTTATAATTTTTAAATGAGATTCTTAAAAAAAAAAAAACTAATCAGTAGCGCCATTTGGAATGAAAAGAAAAGGAAGGGGGGAAAATTAAAAAAAAAAATACATTTTACAACTTTTTTAAAAAAAGTTTATGCTAGAAAAAATATATTTTTATTTATTTTTCTCCTCTAATTTTTTTGTAATAATATTATTTATAACAAACCATTTCATTCTAGACTTTCTAAATTGAAGTAAAAAAGAATTTAGAATAACTAAAAAAAAATGGTATTAAAAAAGTCATTCCAAACTATTTCATTTTCTTTTAAGAAATTCTCTCAATTAACAATATATAAAACTTTTATGCATCCCACTCTATTGTATTCTATTAAAAAAAAAAAAAAAGTCTAAAACACTTCTTCAACTCCAGCAATCATATACATTATTTAGTATTTACAAACAAATCACACACAGAACTCCTTAATAAACTCTACAGAACATCGACCAGCGGACCAATATGAACATGAACACAGAATCTCCCTTTTTTCCCCATCTATGCTGGCACTTGTCAGTTAAAATTGACCAGAAGCAGGATCACTCCAATTCGCATCTTTCTAAGCGTTTCCGCGATAAGCGAGCATTCATGTGGCTGCAACATTAATAAGCTCACTGTGCCACATGAATGCTGTGGCTGCTACAATCATATGCTCAAACAATCCAAGCTGCTAGATTTGATTTGAAGCTTAGATCTATGAAAACCTCAACAGAAGATTATTTCATCCAACAGATCATCCACAATCATGTCCTCTAGTTCAAGTGCTACACACTCTTCTTCACTTTGAAGGTTCATCCAGACATTACTTGCCAAATCTCGTCTGACAACATCGTCTAATGTCTGATCTAATTCCGGCATTAAGCTCAGATACAAGTTAACTCTATTCCACACTTCCCTAAGAAGACGATGACCCTTCGGTGTAGGATGAAGGCGGAGGTTGAAGGAGAAGGGCCGAGGGAAGTAGGTCGATGATCCTTCAAATATTTCAAGCAGACTCTCGTTCACTATATCAAAAAGAAGCTGATGATCAATGGGCTTGTCAATCTCTTCAAAGAATTCTGTTTCTTTGCATAAGGATGGCTTTAGTGGTTGGTTCACTGTGTGCCACATTTGGATATGGTCATTCTCCATGAAGCCTGAAAGTTCAATAATGTGCTTCACATATTTGAAATTTGAATCATTTATTATATCTGATTCCAAGAGCAGGAAATGATTGTCACTGCTCTTGTTTGTCCCTTTTGCTTGCAAAGAGTATCTGCTTTCTACTTTCGGTAAATCTTCCTCCATATCATTCATGCTAGAGCCTCTTATATTTCTTTCAGTACCTGTTCATGAGTTAATCAAATGGGAGAAAAGTTAACCAAATTTTTCTTCCAACCAAACATGTTTAATCTGATATCAGATTTATCAATAAAATTGAATGGAATCTTTAAAAAAAAAAATCACCTTTAGATGCATGAACATATATTTATTACCTGTTGTATTTTCGGTTGTCTTGTCTTCACAGCTAGCTTCAAGAATATCCATCATACCCTTGCCATGATCCATTGTCGTTTCTATTTCCACATTTTCTTGGCAAGAACTTTCATTTTCTGCAGTTGAATGGGATAAAGGATTGGGAGTTACATCGTTCCCACTGCTTTCCTCCTCTTCCTTAACTTCAGTCTCTATTATATCATCTAGTAGTTTGTCTTTGCTCACAAGAAGGCTTGCTGATTTTCGATGAACAAGAATATCAGTTTCTTCTTTTTTGTTGTTATCCAAAGAAGTTCTTGCTGGAATACTCCCTGCATCATTTGCATCGCAAATGGCCTCATGAAGAATGAAGCCTATGGACTCGATATTAGGGAGAGACAAGTTCCTTTTGGTCAACTTTGGAGCACAACCACCTGTGTGATTGTCATCTGCATTTGTCACTTTTAAGCTCTTGAACATTGAGCCATGCCACTTGATATCTTTGCCAAAACTTCTCTCAAATAATTGAGTATATCTATCCAGTGACTCATTCAGAGAAGATGTTCTTCTTATGAGGGGAATTTCATGCTTGTTGGAGTCATAATCAGAGGCTTTAATTTCATTTGAGCTTATAATCTCAGTCATGCCATCCTCTAAACGTTGTGGCGCCTCTTTCCCAAGCCTATTTTCATATGAAACTCTTCGACGGAATGCTTCAAGAGAAGTATGATAACCATTTTTGGTTAATTCCATAAGAGCATGCTTTATCCTCTGCTTTATAACTTTGAAACGATGAAGAACCAGTTGATTCCACCCTTTATGTTTGTGATTTAATCCATTTGAAGGCCCTGACAAAGCAAACCCTGATTGTTTCATAGTACTATCCAGACCATAATCACCCACTAATGACACTTCTTTCATATAAGCATCATCTTTTGCAAAAAAATTTAGTGCTTGAGTCCCAAAAAGCAGCTTTTCCCCCTTAGGAAAGGCCCATATTTCTGTTTGCTTGTGTTTGAGGCTCGTTGATTTAAGGTTCCGCACTTGTGAAGATGCTGCTATGGGGAACGACCCTGATTTTGTCAATCTTGCTTTCTTGTTTTGAAAGCTTCTCGCGCCCACATTCAGATCTTTTAAGAATTTCAGGAGAAAATCTTTTTCTGCTCTGAATACCTCCACAACATCAGCATGCTCCTTAAACTCACTGAAAACGTCTCTATCAAGTTTACTAGTTTCTACTGCAGATTTATCAGAAGACTCAAAATCTTGTGGCCTACTTTGTAAGCTTAAGATCTGATCTTTGGAACTTTCTTCTTCGGACATATTTTCAATACGCAATCCTTTTTTGCTTTTTCTGGCAGAACTCTCGCCAGCAGCACCCGCTTTTTTGCCACGTTGCCTAACCTGTAAGTTTTCAGATTCAATTCAGTCAGTACATGTTGTCTAACTAAAATAATATTCATATCATCATCTCAAGTCTGAGAAAGTTATCACAAAGTACCAGTAGGGGTTTAACATCCACATTCTCAAATCTTTGGTCGTCACAATCACTGTGGTTGGACAAAGTGTTTCTTTTCTTATAATCTGCAGAGGTAATATATAGAGGAGTGAATGAATTGAACATCTTTAATTCTTTATACTAGTAGAGAATTGAGTATAATGACATCGTGCAATCTGTATAGCCGACTCCATCCAGTAGTGTAAGACTTAGTTGTAGAGAATTGAGCAACTTTCAAGGAAATATGACTAAAAAAAGAAAAAAGAAAGTGAAGTGGAATAGTGCTTACATCTGGCATGTCTTCCCAAGTAATGCCTTTTGTGAGGAAAGACCTTTTTAACGTTACGCCAACGATGATAGTCAAGCATATGAAATATACCCCACATGCATCCATGGTTGTTCTGAAATTGAACAGTGGAATTGCAAGACACCAATTGCTTTCCCATTTTTTAATGCAGCTATTCTGCAACTGTAGTAAAAAACCACTCAAGTGATAATCAATTCCTTCCACTAGGCCTTGTCCTGCGGAGCCCTGTTTAAAGAAGCAGAAAAAGAAGAGAAAAAGCATACATGTTAAAGAAAAGAACAGCACCAAGAAATGCTTAATACTCAATCCTCACACTAATTCTGGGGGTTTGCGTTTTGACTTTTTCTTTTTTAATTCCAGATTTTTTTTAACCAACCATAACAGAAAATGCCCTTAAGTTGTTCTTCAATCTGATTAAACTGGACTATAGATGGCTTAGATATATAGACACACACAGCCATTTTTGTAAAACTATCAGGGGACCAAAAGCGAAAAGAACATAGATGAAAGAAGTTTGCTAACTTATGAACCGAGCATGAAGGATTGGAGACATAAAATTAACCAAAACCAGATTAAAAGTGAAATTTCATCAAACAAAAAAGTGGAATGACTGAACCAGATATAGATGATGGATTTCAACGAGATTAATAGACGAGCTTATTAATCAAGAAATCAAAACATGGCGGGGGTTTCTTCTCAAGATGAAGCATAACATAACGCAGTTCAACGAAAAACGACGAAACAGACAGAAATAAATGGAATTGTAACCTCCAAAGTAATCAACAAAGAAACGGCGAGCTCCAAAGTGGCCGATCAGAAAAGTCAGTACCAACTTGCGCGGCAACTGAAACACAGATTATTACAAGTAGTTAGAGAGAAAAAATTGTTGGTGGAGATCAGACACAGAAGAAGAAGAAGAAGAAGAAGAGGATGGTTACAGAAGCGATGGTGCCTGGTGAGATTGCGTGAACGCGGAGGACGAAGACATTTCGGCGCACAGCACCCGCCAAAGGCAGTTATGGTCTATTGTGGCGCTTACTTGGACCAAAAGTCTGAGAACACAAGCTATAAGGTTGTAAAGTCATTCTTCTATAATGAATAATTAAAATAATATGGTGGCTAGAGATACCTTGCCAGTTAGACTCTGTTTGGATCAATATTCAATAGACTGAATTGAAGTGACCAAATGATTGTTGATAGATTCTCTGTACATGCTTAAGATTTGGGTTTAGCTCATTTTGAAAAAAATGAGGACTTAAAATTTAATCTGAGTTAGAAAATCATGACAATGAACTAGTGAATCAATTTCTTTAGGGATTCGATTCAAGAATTTTGGACAAGTAGACTGGATTGAATTTTTTATATTTTTCTTTCTATATTAACATAAAATGATATTATTTTGAATTATAAAAAACAAGAAAATATAGTTGTATGTTGGATTTATGCCTTAAAAACTCTATTTTGCTAAATTATTTGTCATTTATATATAAATGTTCTATTTACCTGTAGATTAATTTCTTTTTATTTAAATATTGCTTCTTCTATACATTTTTTGACAAAAGTGTACATACTAATCAAGTTTATTAAATATATTTTACAATTTTATTTTTTTAAAAAAATATAAATATAAATTTTTAAAAATATTCTTCATTTAATATAACTTTATTTGTGAAATATTAAATAGAGAGAGAATATAATAAAGAGGGAAGGGTAAATTGAAATAAGTATAATAAATGAAACCTTATTTTTATCAAGATGACTAATATTTTGAAATGTTGAATTACTTCTAAAAATGTTTCATGTAATGGGATGGAGGGAGTATTCTTTAGATACGGTTGATGACTATTCCTTAAATTACTTTGTCGATTGGTTCCATTTGAATTTCAAATTTGATTAGTTTCAGTAATAAAATAAAGTGTGATTACATAAAAGAGTAAAGGATTATTCCCATCGGTGACTCAATCTCTTTTTTGATATGGGTTTCTACCTAAACCGACCAGCCATTAACCCAATGTGACCTAACTAACCCAAGGTCAACCCGAGATAACCCGGTAGTTGGGTTGTTGGGTCAATCAGATCACTTTTTTAATTTTTTATTTTTTAAAAAAATTATAAAAACTAAATAAAAAAGTAAAAAATTTAACTTGAAAATTAAAAAAGTGAGGCAATGGAGGGCAAGACAATTAAACTAGATTTCATTATTTATAGTTTGAACTTTGAATAGAGGGCATTAATTGTAAGCTTGAACTTAAAATACTCAGTATTTTTTTAAATTAATTGTGCCTTAATTGTTTTAATCTTTCATTTTTGTTGTTATTCATTCGTCTAATTGTTACTTAGCATTTATAAATTATGACTATTATTGTTGATGATTTTAGTGTTATTGATGATTAGTTTTGAACTTTTTAATGATTGAAAGGTTGTAAATTGTAATTATAAGAATGAATATCTAAAAAGTTATATTTTATTATTGTTAGACTTTTGAATGGTTGTAATTCTATAATTATTGTTGATTTGTATCTTGTATTATAAATTAATCTTGAATTTGATTGAATATTTTCATGATTAATATTTTTTTATTTAAATTATATTATTTTAATTATAATCGGTTTGCCCTCCGAGTTAACCCCCGATTTAAACCAGGTTGAACCACTAACCCGTTATTTTGACCGGTTCAATAATCAGTCTAGTTTTCAATACCTTAATTATTCCACATATAAAAAAAGTTAAATGGTGGCTATTAATGAAATAATATTAAGCGTCCGAAGCAAAATGAAAAGGAAATAAGGCCACGTCTGTTTAAAATTTTCATGGAAAAAATTATTTACTTTTTTTAAAAAAATATATTAGTAAAATTTTTATTATATTTATCTAAACTTTTAAAAATAATCAATATTGATTCAAAAAATTGATTATTTTGAGAAACTATTTCAAATAGTTTCTAAAATTAATCTGATGCCATATATAAAAAAATGTCAACAAAATATGGAGATAATATCATAAATTTTAAAATAAGCAAATAACTAAATAAAAAATATTTTTTAATAAAAAAATATACATTGAGATATAATAAAATCCCAAAATAGCTAAATAATAATAATTCTTTAATTATTGTAACAAAACGTAAAATAATATTTCCATTTTTATAAAATATCTACAAAATAAATTTCTTTTTAAAATTTTTTAAATTATCTAAAATTTACTTGTTTTGTAATATTAAACAAAATTGTCATAAGATTGAGTTCAAGTGTTCAACCAAACACCACTTTATTGCTACCAGCACACTACATCACCGTTTAAAAAAAAAAAACGAATTATTTGACTTAGCTAGCAAAGTTGAACGAGTACATGAAAATGACATGGAAAGAGATTGCTATGAATACAACGACATTCAATAGAGCTTTGTGAATTGCAAAATGTGGAGCATGCAAAGGGCAAGAACTTGTCTTGCTTTTTAAGATACGATATTTAAAAAATGGTGTGCGGATATCACCCGAGCAACTGGGATGACCTGCAAACGGACTCGGTCGAAGATTGGTCCACGGTCTAACTTTGACAATAAAATAATAATAATACTAATAATCATTTTATTATCATAATATTAATTCAATTAAAACTCAATTTCTAAATTTTAATTTAGCATATTATTGTTCTCAGACTCTTGAGTTAATTTCTTGAGTTTATTGTTTTTATGTTTCTATTTTAAAAATTTGTGTTACTCATTTATAAACTTAATGTAAATTTAATTAAACTTGTTAAATTTGTAGATTTTTTATCGAGTTGAGGAACTCAAAGTACTTCCTCCATCTCAAATTTTAAATAATTTTAGAGAAATTTCATTATGCAAAAAAATAACACAATTAGAAAAAATAAGGTTTCATAATTTTTTTTAAATATCACCCTTTAAATGGAGAAAAAATTGTGATGATATTGAAACGTAGTAATGATTAAGTTTGTAGAGGAGGCATTTTTAAAAATTTATAATTTTATTTTAAAAAAATAAATTTATAAAGTGTCATGATTGTGTTTTATTATTATGCATAATCATCTCTCGAATTAACTTATAATTTAAAACTGAGGCAATATATACTTTGTAAAATTAGGTATATAAAAGTAGTAAGATCTTCAAATAAAAATAAAAATCAAAAATCAAAAACTAACATTAATAAAAGAGAAAATAAGAAATATAAAAATAAGTTGCCTTATTTTAAAATTTCTATATTAAGCATAACAATCTATCAATATAAATGGATTTGGTTTCAATTATTTGTATTTAAAATATATTTAAAGAAAATAATAATTATATTTTATATTTCAATCATTTAATTATATATTTTTAATGGCTATTTATTAATAAATATAAATTCTTATGAATTTACGTTTGAATTTATATTCCTATCATAAGTTTACTTAAATTTATAAATTTTACAACTTTATATGGTGCAACTCATCCCTATTATGTTTTTGATAGCATAATAAGTAAACTCCTCCGACAGCATAAATTACCTTTCAACTAAATTAATACATACATAAGTATTAGAATCAAATATTTAATTATTTGTGTAAGTGATGAGAGTCCTTACTACTTACACACAATAATACGCTAATGATGTCATGATACTTATTTAATACGATTGTATATTACAGGAACTTAAACTTGAAACGTCAAAATAAATTGATTTAACTTTCTCAATCAGTTGAACTAAGCATCTTTCGAAACTTAATGCTAAAATTATGGTAACTAAGTTGTACCATATTAAAACTATTTCTTAAAATTTATAGACTAATCTTTTAAAAATGTTAAAATTATTCTGGGCAAAAAGAATTACTATAATTATATTGACCAAGTTATACCAATAACCAAATAAAAGTTCAGGTATTTAATTTCAATCAAATAAAAAATATAGGGACAAAATTACATAAAATTAATGTTTAAAGATTAAATTATAATCAAGTTAAAATTATAAAAATTAAATGATTATTATTTTTTAAATTAAATACTTCGGGTGCCTGAGTTCATCGTATTTGACTAATGACTATGGAGTAGTATTGACCTGACTTCACATTATACTATTGGAAATTTAGCAGAATTAAACACCTTTTTTTATATAATTTGTTATCCAATTCTTTAATTGAAATATGACAGTGACTGGCATATGAAATTTTTAAATAATTATATAATAAGTTTAATTATTTTAAATAAATAAATAATTTTTTTTCCTGGTATTGTATGGGTTCATTTTTTAATTCGTGTTTATGTATATTATAATTATAGTTACACTAAAAAAAAAAAAAGACCATTCCGTAGAGAACGAGCCAAATTTTGAACATTTCAACATGCTCCAGAAGCCAATCTGACGTTACGATAATGATGTTGGGTTGCTGGATGGATACTTTTGACAAGGTTTGATAAAATTAAAAAAAAAATCATAAAATTTGTCAACCATATCTCAAAAGTTAATAAAATTATAATTTTATACTAATTAAATATATATTTTTAAATAATATATTTTTTACCAATATTTAATGGAGGGTAAAAAAAATTATGATATAAAATTAATGTTGTAACTTATAAATAAGAGTAAAAAAATAGAATAAAAAGGGATAAGTCATGTCTTATACTTATATGCCTTCGGTTTCCTCAACTCCAATCTTCAATTTCAGCATAAAATTAAGAGGAAGTAATCCTAAACAATCAATACTCAATACTGTTGTGCTATGTTTAAATTTATATATATATATATATATATATGGATTTGGATTTGAATTTATATTTGGTCTCTTATTTAGGAACTTAAAAATTTATAGATTTAAATTTTATTTTAATTCCTTTATAATATGAAATATTTTCTTTTCTTTTTTTAATAAAAAGACGAAACCGAGGCAACTTAGCCTATATCAACAACAACAACTTAGCCTATATCCTCAGTAACATTTATAGCATCCCTGGATAACATAGCAAGTAGCTCATGCGGTGTGCGAAGCATAAACGTGATCCCTGGCATCATACTAAGTCCCATCTTTGTGAGATAATTAGCACTAGCATTTGTGTTCT